TTGGCTCGAGCGTGTCGGGGGAAAGGGGATTTTTTTTCCTTTTCTGAACAAGACTTGGTGTTTAACGAGCATATGCGAATTCAACCGCCCGAGTGCTTTGCTTGTTTTTGGGAAATTTTTGATAGACAGGTCACCTATGATTTTGGAGTGGATCTCATACTCAGTAGCAGTTTCCCAGTTAGTCTCTACTAACCGTTGTCATCCGAGCTGGCGTGAGCTGAAATTAGGAGCTAGTGTGGTTTAAAGTGTAATGATCTGATGAAGGGGCCTAAATGCATACAGAATGTGGGACTATCTATTGTTATTAAGACTGTCAATGCATTTATTTATCAATGTCATTGAGCTGCCAAAGACATTTGGTTGTGATGACTGGATTCACGTGCGCCTTCTTCGAGAGCAAGCAATTTGGAAGAACATGGCTGTTGTTATACACATTAAAGCAATGTCATATGTCTGGGTGCTGTTTGACGTAAATTTTATCAGCTGCTTTGCACTTATTCTTATGGGGATGCTGAATATAGTCTACCCAATTTAATTTGCAGGTTGTACAGTTGTTTTCATGCTTGGATAAAATAAGCTACATAGAGTGGGCCCTTGATTCTGAATACATACTTTGTGGTCTCTATAAAAGACCAATGATACAGGCATGGTCGTTAGTTCAACCTGAATGGACATGTAAAATAGATGAAGGTCCTGCTGGTATTGCTTATGCTAGGTGGAGCCCAGATAGTCGGCACATACTGACTACATCTGATTTCCAACTTCGGTTGACAGTTTGGTCATTGGTCAACACAGCATGCGTACACGTGCAGTGGCCAAAGCATGCTTCCAAGGGGGTCTCTTTCACTCAAGATGGAAAGTTCGCTGCAATATGCACAAGACATGATTGCAAGGACTACATCAATCTGCTTTCTTGTCATAATTGGGAGATTATGGGCGTTTTTGCTGTTGATACTCTAGACTTAGCTGACATCCAGTGGTCACCGGATGATAGTACTATAGTGATATGGGATTCATCTCTCGAATATAAGGTAACATCCAATTACTTCATCACTTCGTTTCAGTCGGTAACTTCTCCTAGATGCATCCTTTCGTTTTAGCAGTGTTCTGCATCCATGTGGTCCCTGTCGAGCGTGTATGTGCTAGCAGATACGTTGGACCTAGATATGGAATGTTAATGCATTACATTTAACCAGTTTCTTCACATCACAATCATTTGGTGGTTAAACCATAAAGAACCTGTTTGAACCTCACGGGCAGGTCATTTCCACTCTTGCACCGCACCTTGACTTGTTTTCATTGAACTTGACTGTTGAGACACAAGTGATATCATGAATTTCTATCTGAGAATTTTGTCTAGGGATTCATATGATATGAATAAATGATATTTGTGTTGTTTGTTGTGTGACATTAAATTCAGTTTGGCCGACAAAAGTGCAAAGGTTATAACTGGTGTTCTTTGAAACAGGTTTTAATATACTCACCAGATGGGAGGTGTCTGTTTAAGTATCAAGCCTACGAAAGCGGATTGGGAGTGAAAAGCGTTTCTTGGTCTCCTTGTGGACAATTTTTAGCTGTTGGTAGCTATGACCAGATGTTAAGGGTCTTGAGTCACCTCACTTGGAAAACATTTGCAGAATTTACGCATCTATCTAATGTTCGTGCTCCATGTTGTGCTGCCATATTTAAGGTGCTTTCTTCTCGACATATTGTCAAATCTCATATGTTGCTCATTACAGCTATGTATCTTTGATAGACACATTGACTACATGAGGTGGACATACTAATCTATTACATGGGTTGGCACCCTGTTGGTGCCCTTTTGCCATAAAGGTCCTTATTTGTAAAAGCAATTCTCATACATCTTATATGTAATGATGTGCATACTTTACGACTCGAGTCTTTGATAATGGCAGGAGGTAGATGAGCCCTTGCAAATTGACATGTCTGAATTGTCTTTAAGTGGTGATTATATGCAAGGCAATTCTGGTAAGTCTTTAATTAGTCTTTAGAGATGCATGTATACGTATGTTATTTGTCTTCTTGACACCCCATTGTGTTCAATCAGCTGTCTCATTTATCGTATGAATGTCTCTTTGTGGAAATTTGACGAAAGCTCTTTGTTATGCACGTGAAATAAATTCAATTTGAAATTGAGATACCCTACATTATCAATGACATTCAACTGTATCATAAGGTCGAAATGTTATATGAGCTTTGGTTCGGCATACATGCTTTTGAGCTGTGATATTAAGTTTAGACATTCAGAATTAGATGGCATTCCATCAAACCTTGGTGCTAGTGAGTTCTGATGATAACAGAAGCAGTTTTGGTAGCTAACATTAAATAATCTGCTAAAAATCAAATTTTAAGATTTGGGGAGAGGTGATTCTTGAGTTGAATGTGTTTTGATGGTTTAGATGCAGGGGTGAAATTAGGGAGTGTAAATGATATTGATTGTGGCCTGAAATTTGTCATATGTAGGGAATAGTCAAGTATGACGGCAACTAGGAGTTAACTAGAAAGATCTCTTGTTATGCAGTTGTTGCAATTCGATTTGATTCACAGTTTGAGAGCTATAGAGAACCGTCTCCTATTTTGGTTACAGACGTCTAATATACCAAATTGCTTGATAATTTTCTTTATCAATTAAGCTTGTTTTTCCTTGTATATTTGGTGGATTTTATCATGTATACTGTAGCATTTAGTTTATACTTCGATTTATTCTCAAAACTTGGTCCAGGAGATGCTCCAGAGGTACATTACAGAGTTAGATATGATGTTACAGAAGTTCCAATCACTTTGCCTTGCCAGAAGCCTCCGGCAGACAAACCAAATCCCAAACAAGGAATTGGTAAGTGTGCACTTATTTGCTAATTGGATACACGTGAAGAAAATGATTCTTATACCAAAGGAAAAGAACCATGATGTCTGCCATACACATAAGTCATGCATTTCATTGATTTTCTTGACGGAAATTCGGCAACAAGGTCCAAGAGTTGTTGGTGTAGATGTGCGTATGAAGTTGCATCTTCATAGGGCGATCAATTTGTAATAGGTAGAAGTTATTCAGAAGGCATGACCTGCAGGCCTTCGATAAATAGGCTTACTTGAGGCTGCATCTTGTGTTAATGTACAGTCTTATGGACGTTTTTGACGAGGATAGACTGGTAGTGTTCTGATGGTTTTTTCTTGTGCTATGAACCCTATATGACTGAGGAAGTCTCGTGGCCCTGGTGGCTAATGTAGGCTCCTCTGGAATATCAATCAAAGTTCATTTGGAATATCATTCTTATCCATAATACAGTAGACAGGGATGTCTGACACAATGTTACAAGGAATAGGTTGTCAGGAAGAGTGCTTCTCCATCAATAAAGTGAAGTCACTCAATGATACTATTCTTTGAAGAACAGATGCTGTCGGAGCATAAAGATCAATGGGATCAAGCCCCAAATAAAGTTGTGCATAAATTTGCCGAACTGGCTCAAAACCTATTTAAGAGTGGTTTAATTGCAGGTCTTATGTCGTGGAGCAATGACAGCCAGTATGTATGCACTCGCAATGATAATATGCCGACCATTCTTTGGATCTGGGACATGCGCCATCTTGAACTTGCTGCCATCTTGGTTCAAAAGGATCCTATCCGAGCTGCAGTTTGGGACCCTACGTGCACTCGCCTCGTCCTTTGCACGGGAAGCCCACACCTGTACATGTGGACTCCTTCAGGTGCCTACTGTGTCAGCGTCCCCCTATCCCAGCTTAATGTAACAGACTTGAAGTGGAATTCGGATGGGAGCTGTCTTTTGCTCAAGGACAAGGAGTCATTTTGCTGTGCTGCAGCGCCACTGCCGCTAGACGAATCTACTGATTATAGCTCAGATGATTGAGGCGTCGATGTTTATTCTCCAGAGTGACATGGACTGCAAACTGCAGTTGTTCGTAGGACTGTATATTTAGGCATGTTAGATCTACCGGATAGAGATGACTTTTTCGTGTTGTATAATTCTTTGTAGTCGGGATGATTAGCTTCCGCAAGTTAAATTATTGACAATCGAACTGCCGATCTGGATTCCGTCCCTCATTTTTTCCCTTCGAACCGTAGAAAGCCAGAATTTGGGGCAATGGTCAATCTGTATGTCAGTTTTCGATAGAAGGGCAAAAATCTGTATGCTGATATGAATCTCGTTTGACAGCTGCGGCACGTACTTGATATGAACAGATGAATCAGCTGAAGGCCCAATTAATGTTAGATAAGACAGGAAACTGCTTTGGGTAGCAAAATGTGTTGTCCACAGCAAGCCAACAACCGAGAATTCTCAACTCGCACTTAACAGGAGCCTTTTGGTCCGAAGCAATGAACGATAAGCCCTTTCGGCGTTCCCATTTATTCCCTGAGGACCACAGGACGAGCCACTATACACTAGTTAAAAGACAGGCGATTTCCACTTTTTATTCAAATTAATTATGACGTTATGAGCTTCATTTAACCCGAAACTCTTAATACCTTTTAAAAATACTTAAATTTTCTTCAACTCGCTATATAATAAATCTTAATTCTACCTGCTCTGAAACAAAGCACGAGTAATTATCAAGTATTAATGCTAATATTTTTCTACGAATCCTTTTGGCTTACATGACGTTTGAACAATTAGAGTGAATAAAAAAACGAAACAAGTTCCACCGGGAAGATGAGAAATTAGGCGAACGTAGAGGGGCCTGAGATCAAATTGTCCAAATATACATATCACCTTTCTCGATCATATTTTCATAGGAAATAGGAACTTGAAGTGAATTTTATTTGAAATTCAAACAGATTTGAAGTGGCCATGTCAATCTCAAGAAGGGCCTGACCTCACCGGCTGGTCAAAGGCTCAGAAACTTATTTAAAATAAGGTTGACTTTAAGCTTTTATTTGAGAAAATAAGTACATGAAATTATTTGGAATTTTTCCTTTTTCCTATTTTCATTTTAGGCTCAATCCTTTTTTTCTTTTCTTTCCTGTTTTTTGGGGGTGACAGAGTTTCATGTGATCTACCGAACCGATTCCACGCTCCCGAATCTTCTCCCTCACTCGAAGTCTCCCCCATTAATCCTTTCATGCACGACTTCAAATTCGCTTTCGCCTCCCGATGGAGGGGATAGCTAAGCGGTCGTCTTCTTCTTCTTCATCTCCTCCTCCTCCTTTTGTTTCTCCTCTGCGCATGATTCAGTGCCACTTCGGAACTTGGTGAAAGCTTCTGCACCGACCCGATTCATGGAGCTTTCGGTTTCCTTCTTCGCTGCGAGGCCCCACAGATGCTTTCCCGTCGTCACAGCTCACTCGAACTTGAAGCTCCGGAGGAAACCGTTGACTCCGCGCCGAAGAAGAGCGATCAGAGCTCAGGCGTCGGATCCGTCTCTGCGCCGGGAAACTGACAGCGGCTTCGCCCTGCAGGACGTTCCTCATTTGACCAATTTCCTCCCGGATTTGCCGGTAAGTTGATTCTACTATCGAGGCTCTTTTTTGTTGTGTGCTTTTGGCCATTCGTGTGGATCGTTACGTTAAACCGTTAGGATGTAGGAGAAGAAACTGTTGACTAAGGTGGAATTTAGTCGGATTTGGAGAAAAGATGTGGTGCTGAGGCTCTTGGAATCCATTGAAAGGGAAGTCTGCCAACTAATTAGGGAGTTGGCATTTTGTGTAGCGGCCTGCGATTATGTTCGATTGTATTGTTTCATGGAAAAAATCTATACACGATATTGTGGACTTGTATACTGTATGTCTACCCTGCATTTTAATGATCAATTGGAATTAATTGAGTATGTTTTAGCTAATTCATTTGATTTTATTTGTAAATAAGACTCTAACTATTGCAAGAAAGGATGCAAATATCATTTAATTAGAAGAAAAGGTTCTTAATAACATTACAAGGTCCGAGACGTGAAAGTTGGAAGGTCATCACTGTAAGCTCATTTTATAAAACAGAGAAAGATTGATATTGTAAAAATACAATTACGGAGTAACTATTAATACAAAGAACATAATTGATATCTTAAAGGATGAAATGACCGTCAAGTTTATCACCTAAGTTTAGTTATCGCGAAATTATAATGTAACTCCATGCATTGCATGGGCATGATAGTTGTCTCTAAAAGATAATCGTTCATGTTTTTTGATCTTCGAACAATTTGGTTGATCTAATTACTGCCCATGCAATTGAACTTCATTGAATACAAGCACATTTCTCTCCGTGATGTCCTGTATTGTGTGTTTCATTAGTGAAATGATTGATTAGATTGGCTCAAATTATCTCTTTTTAGTCTCCTTCGTCACTCTCTATGTTTGACATTGACAACTCATTAAAGAGCTTATCTTTGTTTGCAGTCGTACCCTAATCCACTACAAAAGAGCCAAGCTTATGCCATTGTTAAGTAAGTTGACCGCTACTTCTAGATTTTTTATTTTTTAAATTTTTCTTGAGTTGCAAGAAACACATTGATGTGTAGATTTTTTTCTTTCGGTCATTAATAATAATAATACATTTGATACTCCTTTTTGCTAGGAAAACTTTTGTCAGCCCGGAAGATGTAGTTGCTGAAAAGGTGAGCTTGTGATACTGCTCCCAACTCTGTCCTCCTAGACTCTATCTCAACCACTAATTGTAAGTTCTTTCTCCAGATTGTGGTCCAGAAAGATAGTCCCAGGGGAGTGCATTTTCGACGTGCGGGGCCTCGTGAAAAGGTATTAAATTCTCAGTGATAGCATGACCTTTTCAGCAATTGGTTTGTTAATATTCAGATCCTTCTTTGGATGATGGGTTTATTTTCAATCAGAGGAAGTTCGTGCATGCGTCGTGACATGCGGAGGTTTATGTCCGGGTATAAATACAGTGATTCGTGAAATAGTATGTGGTTTGAACTACATGTATGGAGTTGATGATATACTTGGTATTGAGGTCAGTCCCACATGGAGCATATTTACTGTTGTTACTCCTTATAACATTTATTTTAGACTCCTGTTTACAATATCATTGTATAAGCGAAAAATTTAGTTCAACTCCAGAGGCATACAACGTCTATAATAAGAAGTAACCTTACACAAGCAAATGAGTTTAGTTGGAATAGTCATGTCAACGTTTCCTTGACAAGTGGATCTCCCACTTTCAAATAGGTTTATTGTGTAGCCATCAGGTAGATGTGAGATTTGATCGAGAGAGGTGTCCCCGAAAAAGAAGGAAAACGAAGGAAGAAATAAAAATTATCTGCACTTTGTCATATGACCGCTATTGGCTTGTTGGATCTAATTGATGAATCTTGTTAGCTGTATGGTTCACAATTGTTAATGTCTGTAGGGAGGATATAGAGGATTCTACTCTAAAAATACCTTGCAGTTGACGCCTAAAGTTGTCAACGACATCCATAAACGTGGCGGCACCTTTCTTCAGACATCGCGAGGGGGTCATGACACAAACAAGATAGTGGATAACATTCAGGATCGTGGAATTAATCAGGTTCATATGATTTTACAATTCCCTATGGCATTGACTGATTGTAAAGCTACTTGACCACTTGTAATGGATCTCTTCCTCATTATAGGTATACATCATTGGTGGGGATGGTACGCAGAAGGGAGCAGCTCTCATATATCAGGTGATCAGTCCTTCAACGTCAGTTACTTCTGATTTGCATTCAATTACAGCATGTCACATTATTTTTGTTTTTCTCTCAAGGAAGTTGAGAAACGTGGTCTTCAAGTGGCAGTTGCAGGGATTCCCAAGACAATTGACAATGACATAGCTGTAAGTACTAATGAACTCCATCCAATAATTGTTAAAGCGACTAAATTGTAAAGATTAGATGGGAATTTTATGAGTTTTATACCCATTGTAGGTTTCTTATCTCCATGTTAATTTCTAGAATTGATAATTGTTGGGTTTTACGAATAATTTGTACTGAAACTGTACAAGGTAGTCCTTGACTTAATGGAAGTTCTTGGCAAAAGGTCGATTGCATATATTAGAATTATCGTAGAAGTGCTATGACCCAAGTGAACTACCAATAAAGCTCAACCTCTACTTGGTGGATTGCCAGCATGCCGCATGTTCATTTACCAATGATAAAGTCACAGTGGCTATTGTGTCTCATAATATATACACCGAACTTCAGGTGATGCTTATAGAAACTGACAATTTGGTAAATATTGCATATAGGTCATAGACAAATCCTTTGGTTTTGATACTGCTGTTGAAGAAGCTCAGAGAGAGTGTATGACATTTTTAACAGTTGTACGGGTTTCCTATCTTGTGAAGTCTTGACGGTTTCTTTTCCCTTTTTAACTCCATCAGGTTTCATTGCCATGTATGCCACTTTGGCTAGCCGAGATGTGGTAAGTACTTGTTCTTCTGCCAGAGTTTTTAAGTTAATTTTCCACTGTAAAAGTGACTAGAAAATGGGATAGTGCTGTGGCTGTTTGATTGACTAGTTGCATTAGCATTTTTGCTTGTCAAATCTTCTGATCATTAGCAAACTAAAGAGTTTGGAGTATAAGGGTCTGAATCTGGACAAAGTGATTATATGTCATGGAAAGATGCCTCGGGCGACATAATGACTTCAGTTGTTGAACATACCTTCAGAGATCCTTTTGTTCTTCAGAAAAGGAGGAGGGCTTAGGATCAGGTTCTCTCAACAACGGGAACACCATCTAGTGGGAAAACATTTCTCCAGATGTTTGTCGTTTTTAGGTTGTGCAATATCACCTGTTGGCTCCACATGCATAATATGGTGTTTATCTTTCCTTTGGACCGGTGTCAATTAGTTTGCCATATGTTCTCATGAGAAAATTTAGTATGCTTTATGGTGGTTCTGGTAATTTTATTCCTTGCATGATGCTCTGTGAACCTGTATTGTACTTCCGATTAGAAGCTTACATGATCAGTTAATAAAGTTTGGAGTGTAACAGGATTGTTGCTTGATTCCAGAGTCTCCATTCTATTTGGAAGGCCAAGGTGGGCTTTTTGAATTTGTTGAGCAGCGGCTCAAGGAGAATGGGCATGTGGTTATTGTGTTAGCAGAAGGTGCTGGACAAGAGTATGTAGCACAGAGCATGCGCACAGTCGACGAGAAAGATGCATCAGGAAACAGACTACTTCTTGATTTTGGTCTATGGTTATCTCAACAGATCAAGGTGAAGCTGAAAAATTTCTCTCCCTCTGAGATGTCTATTTATTAGCAAATAATGGAGTCATCTGCCAGTGAAGGTCTCTGGAAAGACTTCACATGACGCTATGGGCAGAAGTTGCTAACTATTGACATGATTTGTGCTTTTTAGGAGTAGTAGTTGCAATCCTGGAGACTAACTTTACATATTCTTAACTGTCATTAGAGGGTGGAGAAACAAGTTAGTTTAGCCATTAATTTCCGCTGTTTGGTTATTTGACCCCATTTTCGGTTGCTTCAGGATTGTACATCTATTTGTTTCGTGCATAACTGCGTTTAATAGTTCTTTTAACATTCTCCTTTTACTAATACTTCAATTTCTTACATAATAGGACCATTTTACGAAGGTTCAGAAGATGGCTATAAACATGAAGTACATAGGTACTTGTCACACCATTGACAACATTTCTTCTTCTGTGTGTTGTATTCTCAGCAATTTCTGCTTAACTGCACAACCGAGCATTCTCTGCTCCTATCTCTAATCTTTGTCTGGATACATATCAAGCCATCTAATGCAATTCTCTCAATATACCTGACATGTTCACTTACATTTTGCCCCCGCCAAGGATCACTCTCTCGGTGGCAAACAATATATCTCATCAGATGGTTACAATTCACGAACTGATAGTTGGCATTCCATGTGTATTATTTTAATCGGATATACTTTTCCTTGATAAGGAAATGAATAGTATAATCAATGTAGAATTTTGTGGGACCATTACCACTATGCCAAATACGTAATTTGTTTGTGAAGGCGTGGTTTATTTTAGATGCTTTAACACTCCTCCCTTATGTGTAGGCTGGGATTTAACCCATAATGAAGTGTGGAAACTAAACTAATTATCTTGGGTTAGGGGAACAAATAAGGGATTTGGAGAAATTTAACAGCGGACATCCTACTTTTATACCATCTAGCAATGTCCAATCCAAAAGCGTCAGTTAGTAGGTTGAGAGAGACTACATATATATGTGGCCTACATAAACAATTGATTTTGGATACTTCAGCAATTAGTTTCATATGGTTGTCATTGTCAAATAATGATGTTCAGAAGAGTGGTCATTCGCTGTTTGGTTTAGTATTGTTGACATGCGGGATCCCTTTCTCTTTCTATTTTTGAATTTGTTCTTGGAATGTTGGAAATTTTAACACTAGATAATCTGTATCTAAACAGATCCAACATACATGATCCGGGCTATACCAAGTAATGCATCAGATAATATCTACTGCACTCTTCTTGCCCACAGTGCCGTGCATGGAGCTATGGCTGGGTACACAGGATTCACAGTTGGGCCTGTAAACGGCAGACATGCCTATATTCCAATTTCAGTGAGCACCTCTTTTCCTGCGTTACCCTGAAAGGTTTAAAAATTGGCCTGGAAATTCATGCATTGATTGGTTGTACATACGCTTGGCCGGTTCAAGATGTTTAACCTTTTCTTGATATTAAGATGCCTTCCTAATGATTCTAGTTTGCTGACTAGAAACCTAGAGGATAGATATTAGCTGTTGGACAACCGGATGATGCAAATTTCAGATGGAAAACTTCTTCCAGATTTTGGCTGGTGCTTGTAATGGGTAGATCAGTTGTTCTTGATATGGACCAAAGCCTCATGTCCAAATATAATTCCTCTCAGCATGGAGAAGACTTTTAATCAATTGGACGGGGTGAACAATGCATGTTATGCACAATCATTCACTTTTTCCCATCAGAGTATTCTTTTCCTTTGATTCGACACAAATTCTGTATGTGGGGGATATCCTTCTGTTTCCTGCATAAACCATGTAAACGTCATGACAAACAGCTTATATGTGCCATTGTATTTTAATTTCTTCTTTATATGATCTCTTCAACAGCTTGTTTATCGAAATCTTAAAGTTCATGTTTAGTCTTTTGTAAATCGGGCATGACAAATATGCTTAATCCGTGGATTCATACTCTTATTGAAATATTTGTTCACATGCAATTGCTTGGTCTTGCAGCGAGTCACTGAGACTCAAAACACTGTCAAATTAACTGATAGGATGTGGGCTAGACTTCTTGCATCAACAAACCAGCCTAGTTTCTTAAATGGCGATGAGGCGATGCTGGGAAAAGTTGATAGAGCTATAATTGAGGAGATCAACAACAGGACGATTACATCCATATAGATTTCACAGCATTCACTCTCAGATCCACTGGTCATCAGCGTCTCTATTCTTCACGAGCTGAGATTTCATGGTCACTCCTGAAGACCTCTTAAAGCAGCGAGCATTTGCACTGCAGCATGTCATATTATTTCTAGATTGTTTTCCGGTATGAAGTCTATTTGTAAATGCAAAACCATTTATTGCACTAAGGCGAGAGAAATTCGATCTGTGTAATTTTCTACTAACAAGGGCATTCACATTCAGGTTGATCTAAAGGCCACACACGATAGAAGAGCTTCTGATTTTTCAGTGCACGGGGTGGTTCGAAAGAATGTACCTTCCATGCTAGATCTTGTAATTTTAATAATTGAAAGTGTGATTATTGTGCAATCTGCTCTTGGACAAGCCATCATAAATTGTCATCTAGAAATTCGAACGTAATTTCGTTCTCCTCAGTTTATACTGTATGGTAATGTTATAATCAAGCTTGATACAACGCTCCCCCTGATTCCGAGATTGGTACAGGGTGGCTTAAACAGTTGCACATGGAAAAAGTTGCTTGCCCTGAATCACGAAAGACCGGTTTATCGTTACCGGCAGTTTGGTTATTACGGCTGAGGTTTACCTCTAGGCCCTGCCTGCTCCGTTGCATCTAAAAGCAATCGGTGAGGAGACGGAAGGACAAACTGTCTGGTCATTATGTCTCTTGGTCGTAAGTTTCTATCCACGCTTCTTCTAAGCCCGATGAGGACATGACCCTGCAGAATTCTAAACAGGAACGCTGAACCATCAAGATGATTCGAGTTCTGACCAGAGATTGCGATACTCCCATCGTTCCTGTATTCACACTTCTCTGTCTGCTACGAGCGACTGGCGTCTGCAAGTTGGTTTAACTGAATGAAAGCCTCATACCCTCCCGTTTTCACACAACAGGGTTGGAGCCGAAAGTGTCCTTATAAGATTGCCAGGTCGGGCAATGATTTTTGTCCGAATGCACTGACCCCAATGGTTGGTACAAGATCTTTGGCTCCCCAAAAGTCGGCTTCAGACACCCAGAGTCCAGACGGACAACAATTTTCTACTCGAGTTATCCATGTTTTTCATCTTGGCTTTCTGTAAAAAATTTCCAAAGCCAACCGGCCTCTGGTCCCATCATTGACAAGTACCTCCGTACTCGTTGCGTACTTGCAACTCTGGCAGTGTCCATAGTCTCCTTGCCTCGGTTTGTTTAATCGTCATCCGAGACGACAAAGTCTGCAATCACATGTTCAAGTGAAGCAGACAAAGGTGAGCATTGGTGGGGGCACCACGACCCCATGCAGTCACAATCTCTTTATTCAACCCTGCATCGTGGCCTTTTTCCTCATTTCATTAGGTCTGGCAATTGACATTCGGAGTTTTAGGCAGTCGATGACATCGATTCCATGTATCTCGTGCTCCAATTGAAGCAGCCCCTGACTGATCAAGTTCTTGTTCAACCCTTTCACCGACTTGACCGGATCGACATGCATGCATCCATCTTCAGCAGCGCCAGCAGAAGAACGATGCTTCAAGCAGATAGTTTCATGAGCTGTGATTTAGCTTCAATGAGCTGCTTGGATAGATGTATGGCTAAATTCGCTGTTCGAGTGACAGTTTACGATACTATCTCTTTCAAAGCAAGTCGGTGTATGTGCATCGGCTTCATGTTCAAGTGAATGCACGACTATATGGCGTGAATACAATAATAAACAAGTAGAAGGAAAGTCGTCTTGGCCCTTTTCGATTAGCTAGAAAATTCGAGCGAAACCAATGAAAAATTTCTACCGTGCATCTAGTGCAAACAAGACTTCGATAAAGAGGCAGGCGCTGATTTCTCTTTCTTTTTATACAAATTAATGGGAGCCTTGGAATCCAAAGAACGCATACAAAGACCAAGAAGACAACCTCAAGTCACTCTCAATGTCATCCTCACCATCTAATTTTCCTGAGAAACTTAGTCATCTTGTCGTCATCCTTTGGGCTGGGGCATTCAAGATATGCTCACCTTTCCACTTTGTCTTACTTTGATTCTAAAGTTCCACCTCTCGACCTCGATCACCTTTACTATAGCAAGAAATTATTAGCGACGAAGAAAAAGTGGTTGTTAATTGATACTGTTATTTTCATATATAAAGTCTTCGTTTAACAACTTAAACATTTAGAATTATTGGTAGTGGTCCCACAAATTTTTACAAATAAACTGGTCCAATCATGCCGCCTCACTTTAAATTAGTATTATATAAATAACTGCGAATAGAAATTTTTCAAGGTATTCTAATCATCCTAAACAACCTTAGCAAGCTCTAAATCTTAGCGACGAATTTCTCGTGACAAACTTAATTACTTAATGTAAGCTGGAGCTATGCCGTTTCCAAGTCCTGCCCATCTTAGCTAATCATGATCACTTGACAAATCGGGGTCTTAATCACGCATGATTCGCGATATAAGTTCAGAACAGATGGTACATGATCAAGTTGAGGAATTTGGGATATTTTTTGACCGAATTGCGGGCTCTACTCGTTCGCACTTTGGACCTCATGATTCGGGGCAATATTTTACCATATCCGGGCGTAGAAAAAAACCAGTACGACCCGACCACCGGGGGTCTATCGTCGACTTTGCATGATTCCGTGACGTTAAAACTAAGGATAAATACTATTCTTTCTTCTAAGGTCGCGTTCAACACGAACACCAAGTGCTAAACGACAGTCGGGTCGTACGTTTGACATCATTTTTTTTGGGTATAAACTATTCGACAGCGTACTGTCCCGGCTACTGCTCGTGCTCCTTCAGCGACCCTCCGAAAGTCTAAATGAAATGCTTCTGAGTCAGTCATCACTTGATATTCACAAGTCAAGATTCCAACGGCGTACTTGGTTCAACCATGTTGTAATCCTCTGCCTAACTAATGTTCACGAGGCCCCAGCCAAGATAGTCGCTAACCCTAACAGCGACGTATACGTATAATATTACGTATACAGTCCTTGTACGCATGCTCATTATTTCGCGTTAGTTTTAAAACTATACATGATGGGAGAAAATTGTTCAAAAAGTCCTAAACTTATTGCACTTTTGCCAATTTAGTCATAAATTTTTCAATTTTGCTAATTGAATTTTAAGCCTTTTTACGTTTTGCCAATTGAGTCTATCCGGCTAATTTTGGCTAAAAATCATTGACGTGGATGTTGGACAGTCGGCGCTGACGTTGACAAGTTCAATAATATTTTAAATTTTTTTCGAATTTTTTTATTAATCTTTTTTTTATTTTATTTTTTACTTTCTTTTCTTTTCTTTTCCTTCTTTTCTTTTGTTTTTCCTTTATCTTTTTCCTTTTTTCCGTCCGCCGGCCTCGGGCAAGGGTTGCCCACGCCTGGGCGGGCGAGGGCAGCCCACATTTGCCAAGCAAGGGCTGGCCTCAGTCGACCTTGGACTAGTGACGCTCGGGCCTGGGCTAGTGAGGACGGTCCTCGCCCGCCTAGTTGACGGTGGCCCTCGCTTGAGGCCGCCGACCATCGATGAGGCTCATCGGTGGCTGGCGGAGGGAAAAAGGAAAAAAAAGAAAGAAGAAAAAGAGAAAAGAAAACGAAAAAAAGAAAAAAAAAGACAAGAAGGGAAAGAGAAGAAAAGAAAAAAAGGAAAACATAAAATATATTAAAATTTTATTAATATTGTCTACGTCAGCGCTGGCAATGCCACGTAGGACCGCCGACGTCCACATTAGCGATTCCCGGTCAAAATTGGCCGGATGAACTCAATTGACAAAACCCGAAAATGTTTAGGACTAAATTAGCAAAAGTAATATGTTTAAGACTTTTTGAATAATTTTTCCTACACGACGGTATGCGTTGCCTTAGATCAATCACGACTCGAGAGGAAATTGAAAGCTATAAAGATTGATAATGACCTTAGGAAATAAACCCACATCAATCTGAAGATGAGAAAGAGCTGATCATGTTTGTGGTGTGAGATACGCCTTTCTGGTCTTTCGTTTGGCTGGCAGTAGGATATTTTTTAAAATGATACTTGCGGGGTTCATTTATTTCGTGGTGAATGATCAAACCGGAGACCAAAATTCTTCGTTTCTGATCTGTTGTTGTCGTGGGGTACTTGCAAAACCTTAAGAGTCCAACAACATGTAAGCTCATTCAGACGGAGCTACTACATGCATCTTCAGCTGACGGCACACATCAACTTGGGTGATGCAAATCCAAGATGTCGAAAGCTACTGCTATCTTCATATGAAGACGTGAATTTGTTTTACATTATGCTGCCACATCAGTGAATGCATTAAAAAAAAAACTTTTTTTTTGGGTCATATGCATGCATTAAGAAAAGAACTCGAGAGGGACCAAAATCGTGATAAGTTGAAAGAGCACAAAATAAAAACTCAGCGACTAAATTGAACCTTGGATTAAAGTATAAGGAATAAATTAAATAGAATAAAAAGATCAGGGATTGAATCATGTTGAACATTCGACGGAAATAAATAGAGATCGTTTTTTGATATTGTCCCCGACAGAGACCCACGCACACAATCACTTTTTTATAAACTATTTTTTTTTTCAATTTTTTGGACAATAATTGTTGTTTTTCGACATGACACTGATTGCAGTAATTTTCTCGGATTAGCCACTACATGTTGAAAAAATGGATGGAATTATTGATGATGTATAGTTGCAAAATTCAAGTGGACAAATTAAATAAATCTCGGGAGAGACTATTGCACATATCAAGTTAAGAGGATTCAACAACATCGATTAAAAGTTTGAAGATCCAACAACACTTTTGATGATGGAAAAGGCATCAAGTTGTACTCTCAAGTCCATCAAAATCCTTTCAGCCAAAAAAAAAACTCCATCAAAATCCATGTGACATGCGCGAGATAGAGCACATTTCAAAAGTATCCTACAATTTTGTTTTTATCGGCAATAAAATAATAAGAGCTTTATTAAGAATTCAAAGGGGCCAGTCTCACCATCAATACAAAAATGAAAAAAAGAAAAAAAGAGAAGAAAAGAGAGAGATCCAATAAGAAATTGGTAAAAAGGGGCTAACCCTTTTTCTAATTTTGAAGAAGAAAAAGGAGAAAGGAGAAATTGAAGCGAGGTGTTGATCATGGACGTCGGCTAGTGATATCTTGTTGGTATTAGGCCAATAGTACCTGGAAAAATCTGATTGAAGATCCGATAGCTGTCGACACTTCTTACTCAATTTCACTCCTCCTCCTCCTCCTAAACTATTTAATAATTAACAATAAGGTTTAGGTAGCATTCAACCCAATTTCATGTACTATGCATATGCATATGTTGTTGTCCATGCGTGTACACATATGTTGCCACATGCATTATAAAGTTTTGTAAACAACAGGT